TGGCTAAATACGTAGCCTCAGCAGCAATAGACATACAATCATAGACATCGCCATAGATGCATCTTCCATCAAGTAATTTGTCTTAAGCTGAAGAATATCTTATAAGCTTATTATGGAATTCGTGGTGCCTGTTGGTGGTGGGAGGTGGCAGGCCCGGACACTACTAATCCCAAAAATTGTCATCTAATTCTCAAATCCTAAGACACTACTAATCCCAAAAATTGAAATTCTAAGAATCAAGAATCATGCTCAACTAATATCTAGTAAAATCCAAACAAAAACTCCTCCCTAATCCACACCTCACCCCTCCCCATCCTCAACAGAATCAAAAAAAGTAAACCCTTTACTCACAAAGTCCTCAAAATCCAAACTTTATAACCCTCCAGCCCAAAACAACCACACCCAACTTAAAAAAAAAAAAAAAAAAAGCAGTAAGCAATACAGTAGCAAGTTACATAATAACTGAAGACTAAAGAAAGCTAAGCCACTTACAGTTCAAGAAACGAAAAGGGTCTATAGCAAAAGGCTCAAGCTTTGCCAGAAAGCTAAAATAAGACAATAGAATCATCAAATCTTGTAATTTTCTGTTGGGGTTTTTTCCCCCTTCAATTTCTTTAGCCCTTCTGTGTCCCTCAGCTTTTCAGTGAATCAGTGAGAAATCAACTGAAGTTTAGAATCACCAAATCAATAAATCAAGCAGTGCCGGAAGTACCCAGATGAGAAGCAGGTGAAAGTTGCTAAAATGGGATGACGTCCTATACCTTGTCAGCTCTCCTTCTCTCTCTTACCAGCCAATTTTGACTTTTTGGTCACAAAGTGTCAAATCTCTTATTTCCAAGAAGCTTGTTCCAACTATTGGTTACTCTTCTACTAACTTTTACTACTTATCCTCTTTTTTTTTCTTCCAATATCACTATTGGAATCTACCTATTTCGAATTCGTAATTCATATTCATAGGACTCCATTGGAAGAAGCTTGTTCCTTCTCTCGCTCGCTTCTCTTATTTTTATTCAAACACAAATATAACATAAATATATAAAATAGGTTTGTATTTGTATAAAGTATGAGAAAATTGATATATATATATATTTTTGTTTCTCTCCCTCATATCTCGTTTGCCACCCTCGTCTCTCTCGCTTGTATGAACAGAGATGAAATAGATTAATTGTGTTTCTGTTTGTATAAAGCGAGAGAAAATTGTATATACACATGTAAATATATATATTTTCGTCATATACACTATACGATACAAATATTACTCTGCCAAATTTTCTTTTGTTTTTTTCTCTTTCTTGTTTTATACATACACAAATTATACAATTGATGTATACAATTGTTTTCTTTTATATATATATAGCGAATTATACAATTGGTTTCTTTGTACATGTATAGCGAATTATACAACTTTTTTTATATATATGTATAGTAAAAAATATATATTTATTTTGCTATGTAACGCAATTATGCAAAGTATAGCTATAACATATAAATATGATTTTTATGTTTGTTACATATGAAAGTTACTTCTTTTTTTTATATATTTTTGAGCTTGAATCTGAGGCATCTTATTAAGATGGAGCAGCCCATTCAATTTTTAAAAATCAAGAAATAATTTTTAATTTTAATTTTATTATTAATATTAATATTTATTTTCCAATATAGAGAAAATAGAGCTAGTGAACCGCTTGACACAATATTTGAAATCTATGTATTTGTATTATAAAATGAGATAACGATGAATGAAATCAGTATATGAAATGAATTGTATGTAAAGTAACAAAATTAAAATGGAATTATAACTGATAAAGTTGAACATCTAAACATAAATATAATAGACACCAAGATCATGAAATATCTTAGTACATGAACGTAAGAAACATAATGACTATTAAAATCAATTGTTGCAAGTAAAGGAAATAATATGAACTTTTGAAACAAGTCACGAGTCATGTTTGGGATAGTTAAGGGGTCGTTTGGTGTGAGGGATAAAAATAAATAATGGTTGTTTAACAAAATAGTAATGGGACAAAAAATTTATACCTTGTTTGATTGTCATGTTTGGAATAATGTATCCCATCATTTAAGAAAATAGTGATGCGATAAGTTTTTCCATATAATTGTTGGATAAGTTGCCCCAGGATAGCTAAGGATAAGTAATCCTGGGATAACTTGTTCCCAACCAAACGACCCCTAAAAGCTTGGGTTTGTCTCTTCTTTTTGAGGCTAATGGATTCCAAGATTTTAAAGTTGGGTGAGAAAGTTACAATTTGTGTTTTTCTTGGTTATACTTAGATAAATACAACATATAAATTTTTAATCTTGAAGATAGTATTATAATAGAATTGGATGAGCTATTTTCACGAGAATAAATTTTCTTTTGATTCTGAAAAGAGTGAGGGCAAAGGATTGAACAAAATATTAGTTCTTCTACTTTTCAAAATAATTTTTTTTATGTTTTGAATTAAGAAGAAGTAAAAGAACTAGAGTAGAAAAAGATTCAGGTCCTGATTTTTACGTGTTTAATGTTGGAGATAACCCTCTCACTTTAAAGAAAAAACTTTATCATCACATGATTCTGTTTATTTAGAAAGAGACTTTAAATGATGAAATGGGATTACTAATTTCTAATAAAACTTGAGAGTTAGTTAATTTATCATCTTGTTGTAAAACAATTGGTTGCAAATGGGTCTTACAAAAAAAAGTTGAAATCGATGGATCTATTGATAAATATAAGGATAGATTAGTTGTAAAAGGTTTTAAGCAACTAGAAAACCTAAAAAAACCTTGATATTTTTTCTCCGATAACAAAAATTACTTACATAAGACTTTTAACTATTATGACTGTAAATATTTTTTCCAAATTCATCAAATGGATATAAAAACTGTGTTTTAAATGAAGACCTAAATGAGAAAATTTATTTGAAACAATCAGAATATTTTATTGAAGTAGTTCAAGAAAGCAAAGTGTGTAAACTTACTAAATCACTATATGGCTTGAGACAATCACATAAAAAGTTTGATTCCTGCGTGATTGAAAATATTTTTAAAACAAATCAGTGTGATAAGTGTATATATCTAAGTCTTGGAATAATTCACATTTTACTATTTGTCTATATCTTGATGATTTATTGAATTTTGACTCTAGTATAAATGTTATTGATGATGCTAAAAATAATCTTAGAAACCATTTTTATATGAAAGATATTGGTGAGAAAATTTAATCTTAAATAAAAATAACAAGAACATGTGATAGAATTTTCTTTGAAATATGTTTAGAAAATTTTGAAAACATATAACTTTCTTAATTGTGAGCATATTGTAATTCCTTTTGATTCGAGTGTTTCATGTTCAAAGTCAAAATGATGTAATAAATCAAACGTAATATGCTAAATTAATTGAAAGTTTGTGATACATAACTAATTACACTAGGACAAACATTGCATATGTAATAGGAGTACTTAGTAGGTTTATAAGCAAACCATGTAATAAAAGTTGTCATGTTATAAGAAGAGTTATGAGATAGTTAAATGGAATAAAAATTGTGGTTTATTCTAGGGATAATGCCCAAATACCCCCTCAACCTATGCCCGAAATCTCAGAGACACACTTATACTATACTAAGGTCCTATTACCCCCCTGAACTTATTTTATTAATAATTTTTTATTCCCTTTTTTAGCTTACGTGACACTATCTTGTAGGCCCAACGATGGTTGACTTTTTTTTCGTAACTAGTGCCACGTAGGCTAAAAAGGGGTAGAAAATTACATATAAAATAAGTTCAGGGGGGTAATAGGACCTTAGTATAGTATAAGTGTGTCCTCTGGGATTTCGGGCATAGGTTGAGGGGGTACTTGGGTATTTTCCCTTTATTCTATAAAAAATATCATGTTGTACTTGAAGGCTTTTCTAATGCAAATTGAAGCATTTTATACGGTGATTCCTGTTCCACCACTGGTTATATCTTAATTTTGATTGGTAGTGCTATTTGTTCGAGATCAAAAAAGAAAGTTATAATTGTTAACTCTACTATAAGGCTCAACAGAATGTTTTAGCTTCAGCTAGTGAGGAAGCTCATAGTTAAATCTACTTGCATAACACATCTAAGATATAAATTTCTTTGAACTAATATTATTTTCATCTAGATAATGATTTTTTAAATTCTAATAAAAAAGAAAATATTTTTATTTTTTAATATTTTATTAATTGAAGTAGAATAAACATTTATTAATATATTCTTTAATTTTAATATTAATACGTAAAAGAATCAACAATAACTCATTGACGATAATTTAAAGATATTTTATGATTTGAAGCACTGTAATGATTTTTTTTGTTTTATGGCATTATCACTATTGTATCTTTAACTTTTAAACCAATGATCATATTAGCATATGTTTATCCTTTTTCAATTCAAAAAAAAAGAAATAGAAATATTTTCATTTTATTAGAAAAAAAGTATTTATTATAAAAAAAGACATTGTTGATTTAAAAGTAACAATATTACCCTTTGGGACAAACATAATAACAGCAAAGATGATCTTACACTAAATTAGTAACAAATGACATTCTTTTTCAATTTCGTGTAATTTAAGAACATTTTTAAAAAATTATCAAATTTTCTAACATCGTTTGTATTATACGATAGAATATATGATTGTAAATTCTATTGCGGTTGAATAGAGATGAAGGTGACCATTTTATTTAAATGAAAAGCTATTTAAGGAACAGCAAAAATTAAAATAGGGTGAATTTGTCATGTTTAAAAATTAGATTAAATAGATAAACGTCGGAGTAATTTAAATTTTTTTGTAAGATTTTGATTTTTAAAAAAAGATATAAAAAATAAAAATATCTATCATTTTTTTTTAAAAAAAAAGAAAATTTGTAAAAATAAAAGGCAAACAATATCTAATTATCACCAGATTAATTATTTTTATTATTATATATATTTTACTATGTAGAAGCGTGAAGATGGAACGACCAAGGTTATACTGGTCATTTCACGCTAATAAAAATATTCGACATAGTTCTCGAAGCAATCAACCATTTCTGCGCTTTCTTTCACCGACAAATAAAGAACAACTCAAAGTCTCTCTATTTTGTTTTATTTTTTGCTTCCAAACCTGATTTCTTGGCACCTTTAAGTTCAATTTTACAGTTCTATTGTCTTCTCAACAATATCTTTCGTAATTGGGTAAGCTATTCTCTCTTTTTTTGCCGGCGAAACAAAACAGAGAACTCCTTTAATTCTTTTGAAATTTTAAAATATGTCTGTTCATATTTTGTTCATATCCAATCTGATTGGGTTTTTTTCCCCGTTTTCCAGCAACAAAAAAATTATTTTTCATTCCCAACTCCTGTCATGTTTTTTCTATTTTCATCATTTGGACTTATTTATGGAGGTATACTGTGTTAATTTTGTGTTAATACTTGAGTTCTTGAACTAATTTAGCAAGTTCGTTGAGAGTTATGCTATGCCTATTGTAGATCTCTAACTCATTTGGTTCATGATTGTAGTAAAGGTTTGAAGGACAATTGTTTTATTTCTATATGCATGTCTAATTGTCCTCTCCTCTGATTTTCTGGCCTTGGGTCCTCTCTTCAATTAACTTTTTTATTATCCTACTCTATAAATATCGGTGACCAAGTCTACGTACAACATCCATCTTTTAGAAAGAAACATTTTTCTTGAACTAACAAGTACTTATAACTTCTTCATTAGATGCTCCAAAATCAAGTTTGGATTACCATTCCTAAAGACCATCATGGCCAGAAGCAAGCCATTGAAGAGGATTTTGACTATGAGCACAGTGGGTTCGAGCCACTGTTCTAGGAGCAAATGGCGAATTAGTTTCTATTGCATCTTTTGTCAGTTCTCTATTTGTCCTCACTGTCGATTTCAATTTCTCTGCTATTTCTTTGAACTTCCATATAATTATTTCAAGAGTTTTAGTTTCCTCTTGTGCATTAATTGACTAATGCTGCTTGTTGTGCTGGTTAGGAAAATTGTGGATGTATTTAGACGAAAAAGATTAAATTTGTTTCAGATATTGTAATTCTTGGGTCCTCTCAAAGATGTTGTGACAAGCATATGTCCTACAATTTCTTGTCAACCTCCTCTCAATATATCTCCCTATTTTCTTTTTAAGTGTTATAATCAAGATAATAAAAGGATAGAACAATATGTTACTGACAAAAGTTCAAAATTGTTGCTTAGAGCTTAGAATTATAATGCTATTTATAATGTAAAGATCAGCAAAAGTGGATACATTTGAAAAATAAGAGCTTCCAACTATTTGAAAGTTGTAGACAAAAACAACAACATACTCAGTGTAGTCCCACAAAATGATGTTTGCACTTTGTGGAGGGTAGAGTGTATGCAAAACCTTAGTTATGCCTTAGAGGTAAAGAGAATGTTGTATTATTGATGACATGAAATTAATGATATGAAAATTGATCTTGCTTTGGCCTACTTAAAGGAAGGAATATTCAATAGCTAATACGCTTTCATACTTTTTTTCAAACTGTAAACTTTATATGCTTCTCTATTTTGAGTATTTGTTCTTCAATATTCTCCTTTATGTTGTGTTAAGCTACAGTTGAGACAATTAAAGGAGCAAATATACTCCTTACTCTACAAATTCATGTGTCACCTTAGGCTTCTTATATGACCTCATATGTGACGAGACTCAGTACTGAGGTGCACATTATTTTGTCGCTCCTCCTTGGGTAAACACTGAAGATAATCTTCGCTATGAAGTTTATTTGGTTCATGTTTCTCTTTTTTTTATTTCAATAATTTGAAGTAAATATAATTTTTTTTTACCATAGTTGTGTGAAAAAATACTTGACTAATTTGTAGACGGAATCATATTCATGGGCAACTGCACTTTCTCAAAGCATTTAAATGTATAAAGGTGAAACAAAAAGTGATCGCATGTGCTTTGTGTTAAAGAGATAAAATGTTGCTGCATTATATGTTTACGAACTAATAAATTATATTGATGAAAATTTGTTGGTTAAGAGATTATTGCACCTAGCTATGTAACTTATTATGCCGCCACAGTACTGCACTCTTTAATGTATGATTACATAGGAGTTGTATTAATAAAGTTATTTGTTATCTTTAATTTCAAGAACTCTGGAGTTACAATTACAAGCAGCATAAACCTACAAAGGTAAATGATGCTATATTACTTCACCCAATCAAGGCATAAACTATTACTTTCTACGTTATTGATATAACTAATATTCTATAAGTGACATTATCATGAATGAAGTAAATTGGACATTGTTAATTGATGTCAACTCATTTGAGTGTTTTGGATTTGCCGATGCTTACCTAGAGTTTGTTTAAGTGTACTCTCAATTAGACATAGAGCAAGATCAAATGAAGATAGACAACGCAACATGAGGACAGAACCAAGAACAGGAAAAAGATAACGAGGAACAACTGCCAAATTCATTCCAGACAGTAGTAACCTTGGCTATTTCATTTTCATCGAGTATCATTGTGCCAATTTTCTTTGCTGCATTTGTAGCAAATTATAAGGTGAGATTAGTTGTGAATGGTGAATGTGGTTGCAATGAGCTTGTCAGTTGTCATTGTTAGGATTTGGAGGAATTGGTACTTTTTAAGCACAAGTCCTATGGTGAAATCTTGTCCAAGAGTTTTAATTGGAGGCAAGATGGTTATGGTCATTACCTGTTGCCTTGTTAAGTTAATTGGCTCTACTACAAGTATTTCTTTCTATTTTGGATCTACTGTAAGTTTTTTTTTTTTAAAAAAAGAATTAATTCAATGGACCAATGCTTATTTCAAATGCCGAAAAAAAGAAGTGGTTCTAAATTGCATTTAAAACACGTTATTGTTGTACATGGTGATTGAATAGGAGTGAATAAAGACTAATTTTATCACGGGTCTCCTTGAATACTTTCTATTCAAAATATGGGGATTTCACTCCATCATGCAAGTTGTTTGATTTTTCTCACAATAAATATTTTTCTTTATTAAGAAAACACAGTGTGTTAAAAGCCATTATGTTACCCAAGATCCTCGAGCAAAAAGAATATAATTTGCCCACGTAGCAAGTAAACCATTTAAGTTCTTGGTTTACTTACTATGAAATCTACATCTTCGAGTTTTTACCCCCTTTTAATGTTCCAAATTTATCTCTCTTTCTAATGTTTCTTACGATCATCTTTACTGTCAGTTAATAAAGCCTAATGTCGTTTCATTATTTCTTTGCTATCTTCAGCACATTCTTAATTGATTTTGATTTGTTTGGACTTTGTTCTTTCGGATGCATTCTTGATTTGGTCAAGTTATATTCGATTATGTGTTTTTCAATTTTAATGGGCATTGAGTTCTTAAAGTTATACTTTTCATGCTTACGAAAAAAAGCATCAATCAATTAATAGAAGGATAATTTTGATCACCAGTGCAGATTTGGTCCTAATTAAGAATGAAAAGGTGAGATAAGGAGAAATCAATGAGAGACATCAAATAACTGTGCCATAGTAATGCAAACTTATCAGCTGAACATTAATTAGGTATCGACCAATATCAAACATATATTTGTTGATCTTCATATAGATTTTAATTGGGTTCAGTTACTCCCATAATTCTATTCTAATAGTGGTGTACTGTATCATTTGTGTGCATATAACAGAGCATGTATATGCATGTGCATGTGTTTTTCCCTTGTATAAAAGAAGATCTGTATATGTTTTTGTGCTTAATTCACTAGTTGTGCTGTATCAAACAAAGTTCCTTCGTTCTGTTTTTTTTTGTGGTACTTTATTCTGCCACTTTACTTCCTCAGTCTTTCAACGCCTGGGAAGGCAGTCGTAGAAACGAAGCCTATCGCCACGCAGGACATTAAGAGTCACACTCTTAAGGTTGCAGTCATCAGAACCCACACAAATATTGCCTATGGTATGATTTGTTATTTGCTTTCAAGTGTAGAGGTTTGTTTTTATTTGTGCATAACATGTCTGATAAATAAGAGAATGATCTATTGATTCTAAGTAAATATGAGTTAAACTTACCTTCTGTGACATATCCTTATTATATAATACTATCAACACTTTTAGCTGATTGATAAAGTTTTGTCTAATCTCCATTTTATTTGTCTCTTCTCTTTGTTTTGTTTAATTTTACGTTCTCTTTGGAGGTATTAATATTTTAATTTAAACAAACACACTGAAATTGCATTGTTCATGGACTATAATGATGACCAGATTATTTGTGAAGACGTCATTGCATGTGTAATTGAAAAGTTCTCCACACCACTGATAGTATTTATATTTTTCCCTAAACTTGACCATGGACATGTAAAGAATAAGTAGTGGATTATACTGGTACACTGAACACAGTACGAATATCATCTTTTACCAGTTAACTTACAAAAAACAATGGTGCTTACAAGTAGAACAATTTGAATTATTTCAGTTGCAACTTGAACACTGATACCAAATGCTTTGTTTTTCTTGTTGAAGCCACTCAATCCTTTTTGCAAGCCCAAAATGCAAAATATTGTCATCATCAAGTTTGCTTCTTTTTTTTTAATGTTGTGATAATACACTACACCGAAAATGATCTTTAGTAGCAATTAATTAGTGAAGAGAGCTTAATTGTTGCTAAATATGTTCTTAGAGGCAATTAACATTCTTTGTAAATGTCTCTAAAGCCTATTGAGACATAGGATCCAATTACAATTAACTAATGCTTGTAACGGCTTTAGCACTCTTTGTTAATGTGCATGTTTATTGCCGCTAATAGTTTTTCTTTTTGTAGTTATAGCTACTGTGAATATATTACAAAATGTGAGATGGATCAATACTTGAAAGATTTTGACTGATCTCTTTCCATAATCAAACGGGTGGTTCTCCCTCATATGTTCGATCATCATAACTATCATTAGATTTTTGTTGACATAACAACTTATTCCCATCTCTAGGAGTTGAGCAAAGAGTATCTTAATTTATCAGAGGAAAACCATAATGCATTGCACCTTGTTCTAACAAATGATCGCTCTTAATACCGTTCTCTGCGTAATTCTTGCCATCTTCATAAATAAGGTATGTTCGATCCTCGCTACTCAATAATTTCACAAGCCCAAAATGCAAAATATTGTCATCATCAAATTTGCATTTTTTCTACTAGTGTAATATTAGCTACTTGTGAATTATGAAAAAAGGAGGAGGTAAATGCTTTGGCCCTAATGAAATATGAGATTGTTTACATTTAGGTTATATGTTAATGTTGACTATTTACCCCAACTTTTGCTATAACTATCAATTTCTAATGGATTAGTTTTTTATTATGGGAAAGTTGAACGTTGTCTTTCGAGATCTTTATTGTGGTCCCAGCAGGCCAGCACTTGTAATTATTATAATATTTCGTTGTAAATCAATGATATAATTGAGAATAATTTAAAACTTGAAACAGTGCTGCTATTTTACTTTTGTTTTTATAAATATAACATGATAATATATTAACGAGGATACCGACCAGTATTATCTGGACTAATATGAGAAAAATAGAACTCATAAATGGTACATGAAAGACTTCATATGTGCTTTTCATTTTTTTTTCTACCTTGGTTCTAAACATGGATCTCTTTTTTCTTTGGAGCATGTATAGTTTATTAACTTGTGTAATCATGTTGCGAGACCAATGAACCTAAGCAAAATGATTTTTATGGCTTTATTCCATTGAGGGTATTTTCATTTTATTTTTTATAAGAAACATGTATTATATCTATAATTTTATTTGCCTGTACTAAAAATTACATACAAATATGACAAGTTTCTCCTCAAATTTACTTGATTATTACTGTGACAGTGTATTGCTTCCAATAGTACTTTTACATTTTTATGTTGTGATACTCCCAAATAGTTTATGTATAATCCAATCATCAACACTTGCAGATTAGTGGATTACTAACTTGAATAGAAAGTGTCGAATTCAGTAATGTTAATTGCGGATGACGAAGTTGATTTCCTTGTGATATTGAATAATTCCCACCATGTGAGCTAACTTTTAAAATTAAAGTAGATTAAAAGTTCATTTTTTCTTATTATATAATGTTTATTATTGTATCAATATATTTATGGTTCTACTAATTTAAACTTATACAATAATATTAACTCTATATTTACCAAGCGTAAGAATAAATGTTGAACTAATACATGAACTAATGCAAGTTAAATTTGTTGGGCCTGTGCTTAGCACGGGCATTTCATATCTAGTATATATATAGAAGAACCAAGTTGAAGACGATCAAAGACAATTTTATCATTTCATAAATATCCTAGAATGTTTATTATTATGTTATGGTATCAAAAAAAAAATGGTAATAGATTTATAATAACAATACAACCAAATATCTTTTCTTAAATGACATGTCTATCCTAATGATGCGACATTTAATTTGGACCCACATTTTTTATAGATTTTTTTTTGTAGTGTGAAATTTTCATTAAACCAAAATATCTATTAAACAATGACATTTTAGTAATTTTATATTATTTAAGGCTGAAATAATAATTGTATAATTAATGACCAAAATGAAAATCTAGAAGAATCCATACATGTCTTAACTTTTAAAATTGGACCATAAAGATATTTTTATAATTGTGTTAAAATGAAGAGATTCTATTAATTAACTTTTTACAAGCAATAATAAATACTAAGCTCGTTTTGATATGCTTTTGAAAGAAAATTTGAACTAATTTAAAGTAAAATGTGTTTGAATAGTTAACATTTTTGTTCCTAAAAAATATTTTAGAGAATTATTGCGTAAACATATTTTTAATATTTGCTATAGAATATAATCACTAAATTCATATCTTGATTATTAAAATATAATTTTTAAAATGACGTATCAATATTTTTAATTAATTGAAGATATATAAAATTACGTGACTAAAAGAATGAACAATGTTTGACTATTAAATAGGAAAAATTTATGTAGATTATTTTCTTAATATCAAATATGATAAACTATTTGACAATAAAAAAATTAATATTCGAATTCTAAGGAATATTAAAATACAAACTAAAGAAAAATGAGTAGTTAAAAAATAAAGAAAAAAATAAAAATAAAAATGTCAATAGAAAAGGGCTTGAGAAATATAGAGGAAGAAAAAATAAATAATAACTTGAAAAAAATAAGTATATTGGTTATTTTGTGGGGGGTAAGATTCAAAGTTTTCTTTTACGATAGATATTTAGAGTGTAGTATCAAAAAAATTATTAGTGTAATTTAGAATATAACATTATTTCAATTGTTATCATCTATAGAAATAAAATTGCTTTCATAATTGTTTTTATTTTTGTGTACTTAAAATCAATATATTAATAAATATTTTCAGTATTTAGAATCTAACATTATGATAATTGTTATTGTATATAGAAATAAATTTGATTTCATTAGTGTTTTTATTATTGTGAAAGTTAGAAATCACGTTTTTAATAAGTACTTTCAATATTAATACCAAAATAAATTTAAAAGTTTCTATTGTTGAAGACAATAATGAAATGTGTCACAAAATTAACTGACAAAGCAAACTACAAACACATTATATATAATTTGAACCAGTAGAGATTTGAGAGGCTTTGAATCGATCTTTACGAATTCGTCGATCAATGATTAGTATTTATCATATGCAAAGCTTATCGTACAAATATTACAAAAAAAAAGATGATAATATTGTAGAAAATGGGTATCACTTGCGAAGATATATGAAGATCGATGACTTTTTCAAAGATATCAACATTTTATATATTCCTTGAATGCGAAGTGTTTGAACTCATAATCTAATGCAATACTCTATTTCCTTGCTGCATAGATTTTTTTTAAAATTCAACTTTCTCAAATTAGATTGTAAACGATGCATTTATGTCGTATGAACATTTGAAAAAGATTATTAAGTAAAAAAAAATATATTGAAGTTGTTTACTGTGAAAAAAAATAGTATAAAGAATAGAAATCTCATATATTTAGAAGCTAATTACATCCTTTCCCAATTAGAAAAATCTCAAATTTTTCGTTGCTCTCGAATACATTTCTTGGTTGTCTGATACATTATTAATGACATATATATATATATATATATATATATATATATATATATATATTACTTA